TGTTCATCATAGGAAGCCTGGAAAACATTTGTAAAATAATAATACAATCCCTATCAAAATACCGACAGCATTTTTCACAGAACAAGAACAAAGAATTCTGACGCAATCGGGCGCGTTCAGGGCGGTATGGCCGTGGACAAGAACAAAGAATTCTAATTTTGTTTGGAACTACAAAGCCCCCGAACAGCCAAAGCAATCTTCAAAAAGAAAAGCAAACCTGGAGGCATCACAATTCCAGACTTCAAGTCCTATTACAAAGCTGTGACCATCAAGACAGTGTGGTACGGGCACAAAAATAGACATGCAGGTTAATAGAACAGAACAGAAAATCCAGAAATAAACCCACAATTCTATGGCCAATTAACCTCTGACAAAGCAGGAGAGAATATCCAATGGGAACCAGACAGTCTCTTCAACAGATGGTGCTAGAAAACTGGACAGCCACATGCAAAAGAGTGAAACTGGACTACACCCTCACACTGTATGCAAAGATGAATCCAAAATGGGTTGAAGACCTAAATGTGAGGCCTGAAACCATCAAAATCCTAGAAGAGGACTCAGGCACTAACCTCTTTGACATGGGCCGTTAGCAACTGCTTTCTAGACGTGTCTCCTGAGGCGAGGGAAACAAAAGCAAAAATAAACTATTGGAACTTCACCCAAACAAAAGTCTGCACGGCAAAGGAGACAATCCACAAAACTAAAAGGCGGCCTTCGGAATGGGGCGGGGGCGGGGGGGGGGGAGATGTTGGCCAATGACGGATCTGAAAAAGGGTTAGTATCCGAAATGCATGAAGAACTTCTACAACCGAACCCCCAAGTAATCCAATTTAAAAACGGACAGAAGCCACGCACAGGCAATTCTCTGAAGAAGACATCACAGACGGCCAACGGACGCGTGAGAAGATGCTCACATCACTCATCAGGGAAACACATATCGGAGCTCCAAAGAGATGTCGCCGCACACCCGACGGCTAAAAACAACCGGGAACAACAGGTGTCAGCGGGCGGCAAGGATGCAGAGAAAGGGGAGTCCCCGTGCGCTGCCGGGGGGAGCGCAAGCTGGCGCAGCTGCCCTGGAAAACAGCATGAATTTTACTCGGAAAGTCAAAACCAGAATGACCCTACAAGCCAGTAGTCGCTCTACTATTTATCCAAAAAAAATACAAGGGCGCTCGTTCAAAGGGATGCACGCGGCCCTGCGGGTACAGCCGCGCTGTGCACCGTGCGTGTCCTGATCATCGCGAGTGCGCACGTTCCCGTGTGTTTACTGGTCGTATCCGTCCTCTTCTGTAAAATTCATGTTCACGTTGCTCATTTCCTTTTATCATTTTTTATTGATTCGAGGGACAGCTGTGTATCTGCGGATCTACGGATGCATCCATCTATCCTAAACGATACTTTAAAATCCGACTCCCTTAAACAAGAATAATAACCTTCATTGCAAAAAAATAAGATAAAATAATAAAATAAAATAAAATAAAATAAAATAAAATAAAATAAAATAAAATAAAATAAAATAAAATAAAATAAAATAAAACAAGCTTCATTGCATAAGACCTTAGGCTTTATAAATTGGTCTTGCAGTGGCAGCCTTAAGGAACAAACGTTTTCATTCCCCAACTCTGATTTTCTAAAGGGCCGAACTAGATGAACTGTATCAGGCAAATAACGATTTATCAAATAGGAGAAAAAAAATCAAGTGAGGAAAAGAAACCCCACATTGGCATTATTCCCTTTCCTACCTGGGAGCTTACAATAATGACATTGTGTTTCTCAACCGTTTCTGATTTCAACATTAAATGTCGCCGGGGTTGGGGGCAGGGGCAAGCATCGAGGCGCCACTTCCACAGCTCCTTTCACTATGAATCTCGGAGCCATTTGGTCTCTAGGGTCTGCTTCCCGTTTGGACTCAGGGGGAAATGAGAACAAATTCAGAGGCCACACGGGAGGTCCAGGAATTCACGGGTAATCTTCCCACTAGGTGCTCCCCACCTGCGGCCCATTAGCCGCCCTCCTCTGGCCCGATGCCCTCCGAAGGTGGCGCTGAGCCCCGGACCCCTCACTGAAGCTTGGAGAGGGATGGGTTTGAGAGAGAAGACGCAGGTAGCAGCGCAGGAGAGTCGGGAGGCTGCATCGGGTTTCATTCTGGGACTAAATGGAAGATGATAGAGGATGAAAGAAGTGCGCGCTCTGGGCTCCGCCGCAGCCCGGCCTGCCCCCCCCGCCCGGTCCTCCTGGGGTGGCCCACTGGGTGCCCCGGCCCTGCCGCACCCCTGGCTCCCAGCGGCGGGAGTACAGGGGATCCCCTCCCCCACTCTCACACACTTTCACTTTCACTACAGCCTGGCTGGCCTCCCCCAGCATCTGGGGGAACTGGAAGCACAGCTGGCACAAAGGAACAGCTGGGATCCCTCCCCGGGCCTCATAGCGTGTCAGAGCCTTGCAGCTGGTTCCGGTTGAGATGGGGCGGGGGTGCGGAGCTCCTCATGCTACTGCTCCCCCCCCACCTATATTTTCTCCTGAAAATTGACCCAAGTGGTGAATAAGGAGGCAACTGCCACCTGGGTTCCACCCTTTGGGGTGATCGTCTCCTCCAGTGTCTCAACCAGGGCAGACGTCTCTCCCCGGATATCTGGCAACATCTGGAGACACTTTCGGTTGTCATAGCTGGTGGTGGTAGGAGAGGGTCACTGTCACCTAAAGGGTAGAGGCCAAGGAGGCGGCTGACACCCTATAATGCACACACAGAGGAGCCCCCAGCCCGAAGAATTACCCAGCCCAAGATACCAGTGGTGTCCAGGCTGAGAAACCCTGATCCTCTCAAGGCCGGTCACTGGCCTCCCTGACGGGACTCCCGACTCTGCACGTCTGCGTAGCAGCCGGGGGATTCGATAGCCCCTTAAGCCGGTTCTAACCGTCATGCCTGGATGATGCCAGAGCAGGGAGCGGTGGTCCTGTGGCCGGGCCTCTGACTTTGTTTTCTAGGAGAATCCAGCCTGGGATCTGAAATCTCATCTGCATGACCCTCGTGGAAGGTGTTTTGGCTGCAGTCCAATCCCTGGGGGCGACAGGCTTGTAAACGACATGGATAACGGGAAGGGCTTCTTTGTATTTCACTACGGGATTATTTTTTTCGTTAAATAACACTAAATAATATCACCTGATCAGAGTCAGCCCATCATTCATTCAGTCGACAAATGTTGACGGCGTGCCCCCTAGGACCAGGGACGGCGCTCTACGAGGCCACTAACTCAGACCACAGCCCCTGCCGCGGGACTTCTTCATCGGGTGGGATGGAGGCCGGGGGGCTTGCTAAACTGCAGGTACATGAGCCTCCCTCCAGACAGTCTGATCTCACAATTCAGGAGAAGGCCCAGGAACCGGCCTTTTTGAGCAAGTACTTGAGGTGACTCCCATGTAGCCTGTCCACGGGACCACGATTTAATCAACGTTGGTAGAAATCACGAAATCTCCCCAACCTCCCCAACCTCTGAGAATATGCAGACCTGAGCTCTAACGTGGTCCTTTCCCATATCCCTGGAGGGGAAAAAAAAATCGTGTAGCCCTTGAATCAATTAATCATTTAATCACTAAGCTCACGTTTCCTATTTTTAAACAGGAGAGTAAGACCTGTTCAAACACAGGTGCCGAGAGGGTACGATGACCCCACGTAAACAGAAGCAGGACACTTCCAAAGGAACTAAACCATAGAAGTCTTATGTCTAAAAACTAATTTTTATGACATGTAGTAAAAAAAAAAAAAGAGCATTTGCCAAGGATGCTGGCATCAACGGGCCTTAGAAGAAAAATCTCTTGCTTCCGTCGGAGGTTCACACACCACCTATTTTCGGAACCAACCTCAGCATGCAGTGATTCCTGGCTTGATTAGGGCCTGCGGATCCTCCCTGGACACCACGATTAATGGCTTCTCTGATTACTCTCGATTTCCTTCCAAATCTCTGCTCAGACCGACATCATTAACCCTCCATTATGTGACTTGGCCACACACCACTTATTTTCGTGACACACGAAGCGCCTTCAGAAGACCAAGCCTGAGCCTTGTTCCAAGCAAGACTTTTCCAAGCCACAAGAAACATCTCCCGGCTCACCTAACACCAAGGAGGTTAGCTCACTGTGCAGGGGGGGGAGTGTGAACCCGGGAAATCGCTTTCAGCCCAACTGCTCTCCCCCAAATTACTGTGATTGATTTAATGATGGAAGAAACCAAAAAATAAAATAAAATAAAATACAATTAAATTAAATTAAAAATTAAAAATTAAAAAATTAAAAACAAAATGATGGAAGAAACCCACACAGAGGAACTCTTGATACCACATAGCAGATTAAAATCAACGTATCACTATCATCATTAATAAAGAGAGGAACGGACTAAAGGCCAGAATATGCCAGAAAACACGCCGCCATCCCTTAATTAATCTCCAACGCGTGTTTCTCTTTTTCAACTTCACCATCAAGCGGTCCCTTCCATTCTGTCCCTTTAAGCAAAAAGGTCTCTACGCCATCGTCAACGGTCTCTACGTTCCTGCCTGGTCTTCCTTGCTTATTTTTTGCTCTTTTTGCCTGACAAATAGGACGCCTCGAGTTTCTTCCCAGATGGAGCCCTTGAGAAAGACTCTACTCTCCGCGCTCCTGGAAAAACCACCCAAAATATGGAAAAGTGTCTGAATAGAAGGAAGATTATCCTTTCCCTAAAAATAGAGAAAACCCCCTCGGCCCCATGTGGGATCAGTAGCCCGAGCCCATTACAGGCCAGCGAGCTCCATTCCCACACCACCCCAAGCAGAGGAGAACCCCCTCCCTGCAGGTAATGGGAACTCTGAGCCAATGCACCAATTCGAATGCAAATTTTCCCCCAACTCAGGTTTGCTGACACCCATGTTGGAGCAGTGGGGCTCCCCGCAGACCAGCATGCAAATGGTGGGCGCTGGGCTAGAAGAAGCTATAAGAAGGGCGAGGGCGCGCAGACACGGACGTACCTATTTTCCCAGCCTCCACTTTCAGGTTGAAATCCCAGTTTCTTGGCAACTTCAGGGACATTTTGCTCCCGCTCGGGGTGAGTAGCTGCTGAAGCCACAAGTCCGTCTGGATTCCCTCCCCTGTTGCCTTGTTGCTCTTGCCGGGGGGCCGCCCTCTCCCTCCAGGTCCCGTGTGCGTGCTCCCCGGGTGATTTCTTCACGAGCGAGCTTGGGCTCGAGGCTGATTTGCCAGCCTGCGTCCTCGTACTGTCAGGAGAAAGGTCCGTCCATCCGTCTGTCACTTTGTCACTTGGGGCTGGCACCCAAATCCCCCCCAGGGCCTCCGACCGGCCGGCAGGGGCTGCTGCTTCCGGAAGGGCGCACCTCGCTTTTCCTGCTTTCAGTTCTTACCAGAACTATCCCGGGTGGCACTTGGCCCTGCGTCGCGAGGAGCAGGGTTCCCTTCTGAAAGGATCTCAGGCCTCACGGAGGCGAGGTCGTGATCAACAACTGCGGCCTCTCGGCCTTTTTATTTTTTTTTTTTTTAACTGTCTGCTTCCTTGCATTTGAGGAAGTGGGTGGTTGTTCGGTGTAGATGATGCATCATGAGCACTGTTTCTTGAGAAAACGGTTTTTGGAAATGCTCGTGTAAGTAGAGCGAGTGCTCATGGCATCAGGCTACAGCTTCAGGGAAAAGGGAAAGACGTGCACGGTCCGGGACTCCGCCGTATGCCTCTAAGGCCCCTCCGGCCCCAGTGGCTCACGCACCCGAAAGTGGTCAAGAGGCCACCTGCATCCTCCTCCAAGCTTCCTTCCTCTAAATTCTCCCGCTGTTAGACCCAAGCCGTCAGTCCTCCGCCCTCCACCATCCACGGGAGGGATGAGCCGCCTGCGCCCAGGGCCCTGAGGGACTGAGCCACCAAGTCAGCTCCAACGGGGGGCGGGGGACCCCCATGCTATGACGGCTCCTTGGCATTGTGTGCAGGGCGTGGGTGGGGGGTCAGGCGGCCACGGGTTCAACACGCAGAGCCTCCACTTCCCAGCTCTGCAGCTCTTCACGAACAGCTGCATCCCTCTGGGCCTCCATGTTCCCAAGTCGGAACGAGGTCGATGACCACAACCGTGACTGCAGCGAGTGACAAAGGCGTCCGGCACGGAGCGGACACGTGGCGACTGTACCACCAACGGTAGCTGGACCTGCGCGTCATGGGGCTCAGGTCTACGGCAGGCTTCCTACCTCACGTCTGTTGTCAGGCTTTACTGGACCGTAGGTGGACGTGCTCACAAGAGCCACCGCTAGCCAGCGTGCAAGGCTCCATCCTGGGTCCATCCATCCTTCAACGCTACCGGATGACGCCGTCATACTTTCTTCTTCGTCTCACATATGCTCACTCTCCGTTGATGACCGCGCTTCCCGTTTTATTGAGAAAAGCTGGTGGACACTGTCTACGAGCTCCCACTACTGTACCTGACTAAGGCCCACACGGAAGCCCACATAGTGGACCTTTTCCTAGTAACAGGGGGTGGACTGTAGTGTTCTCAGTCGTCCATTTTTTAACAATTATTATTTTTTTAAAGATTTTATTTATGTATGTATTTAGAAAGAGAGAGAGAGGATCCCGAGCCGACTCCACGTTGAGCACACAGCCCAACGCAGGGCTCCATCTCATGACCCTGAGATCGTGACCTCAGCCGAAACCAAGAGTCAGACAGACTGAGACACCCAGGTGCCCCCATCACTCCCCCATCTTTGCTGAATCGATCCTTTTTCTCTCTTGGATCATTCCCACCCGCAGTCAAGCTTGTTTAAAAAAAAAAAAAATCACTCTAAACTCCACTTCCCCTCCTGCTACAGCCCCATTTATTTTCTTCATTTTTGGGCAAAGCTTTGGTAAGAATTGTCTACATTTGCAAATGCTTGTCCTGTTATTCTCTCCTGACCCTTCCTGCTGCTGTTTCTGCCCTGAGGCTCTTGCCCAGTATGTTCTCGCCAAGGACGTGGGCAGCGTCTCTGTCACTGAATCACCGTCGATTCTGCAAGTCAGCTCAGCGCCCTCCGAGCAGGTTTGGACGCTCTGATCGCTGTCTCCAACTCTGGCTCTCTCTCCGGCTCCCTGGAGTCCTCACTGGCCTGGTCGTCTGCCTGCCTCCCCAGCTGCTCCGTCTCTGTTTCCTTGCCACCTAATTCAGATTCAAGGCTTATGGGAAAGCCCATGAGCAGAGGGGGTTTCTTAGACCACCACTGGGGAGAGTGGGGTAGGAGCTTGGTTAGGAGCTCAAAGCCTCCAGTAGCCAACACACACCATGTGGCCAAACCCCAAAGGCAGGGAGGCAGAAAGGACACATGTCCCTCAAGTGGGGAGGGACGGAGAGAAGGGAGTGACTATTTGCCGATCAAGACTCCAATCCATCATACTAACCTTGACCCTGACTCAGTCTACCAGAGACTTCGGAGCCCCACCTCGGCATCACTGCCAAACACCACCGCTGTTCCCTACCTTGACCTGGAGGAGAGGAGCAGTGGGTAACCATCCTGAGCCCCCCGCCCAGCGATGCCTCCATGGGGAAGGTGACACCACCCAAAGTTCCAGTCCTGGGATCTTTAAGTGAGGAACTCTGAACATATTTTGAAGCTAGCACTTACAGACATACAGAGAACTTCCTTCACTCTTTAGGGGGAGGTTCCTGTAACTCTTGGAAAAACTCGTGACTGATGGGGAAGTTGGGTGTGCATACTTGGAAAGGCAATCAGATGCAAAGCACCCCTGGAAAGGCCCAACAGGGCAGCCTTCCCTCTGGGGAGCCCACTGTGGGTCAGCCTGCAGCCTGGGCGGGGCTTCTCTCCTTCTTGACCTGCAGGGAATGAAGATCAGGATGTCCCACGTGGCTCCAAAGTTTAAACCAGCATATGCAATAGCAGAAACAAAAGCAAAAATCCAAGCATCTACGTGCTCACTACGAGCAACCGTTTCTTAAGTAAGGACTCGGTTTTGCTAGACTTTGGAGGAACATCCATGGACAAGCACACTTTGTTTCTGTTTTCATTCCACTGACAGTTTGTTGAGAGACAACAGTACAGCATGAGCAGGGTTATGCTGGGTGAGGTGTAGGAAGCTATGGGGGCTTATTCGTGAGGTACTGGATTGGGACTTGGGGAGTGAAGGAAGGCTTCCTGGGGGAAATGTCTTTTGCATTAAGGCTTATGAGTGACTTGGGGAGGCAAGAGGGTTGGGAGAGGCTTGCAGACAAAGCACAGGGCATGCAAGAGGCACAGAGGTAGGAAAGAGCTCATCGAGTTGCTCTGGAGAAGGATGAAAAGGGGTAAGAGGGAGGAGAGACAGACAGACAGACGGCTGCATTGGGGGTGGAGCCCCAGCGAGCCTTGGCATGGAGTCTGGACTTTACCCGGAGGAAAGAGAAGCCATTTGAACGTCATAACTGGGGTTGGGATGCGGGGCTGTGGCAAAGGGCGGGTGAGAGGCGGGAGACAGGGAGGTCAGCCACAGTGCACAGGTGGAGAAGGGAACGCGAGGCAACAGGCCTTCTGGTGGGACGCTGGCTGTCCAGGGGACTTTTGTGGGAGGGAAAGAGACCCCACAGGGCACCCACTGGCCTGGCTGCAGTCCCTGCAGGGGGATGGAGCTCCCGCCACTAAGCCAGAGAGCACACAGGAGGAGAGGGGGCTGAGGGCTGCTGCTGACTAGCAGGGAGTCGTCTTCCCAGGGAGGAGCGGGTGGGCTGGGCCCGGTGGGGGGAGCATCTGGAGACTTCTAGAAGCCGGGGGCCCAGCTGGTGGAGCTAGAGCTCAGGAGACACATGCATTCGTTCGTTCACTCATTCACTCCTTAAACACTGACCCAGGACTGGCCGGAGGCTAAGTGAACAAGGATGACTAAGGGTCTGCCCCAAGTGACCGTGTGGCGGACAGAAGTGTGAGCACAGCGGCAGTGCTGTGCGGAGTGTGGGGGTGTGTGCGGGTGGACATGGGTGGCTTCCCCCGACAGGCGACCCCCGGGAGAGGTGCCAGGCAGCAAGCACGGCGGGGCAGCAGGAGGAGGAGGTCGGGGCAGATGCCCAGCCCATGGATAGTAAGGAGGCCCAGGCCGGTCAGGGAGGTAGGGGATGGTGTCCTGGCGGGGGGGGGGGGTGCCTCAGGGAGAGGTGCACAAGGGGGAGGGGGTGCCCAAGGGGGAGGTGCCCCTTCCCATTCCCCCAACCCAGCCCTGGGCTAACACGGGTCTACACTACCTGTCTCTCCACTGTCTATCCTAGACATTTTGTATAAATGCTATCCTATGGCCCATGACACTTAGTGACCGGCTCCTTTCACTCTGTATAATGTTCTCAAGGTTCTCCTGTGTTGTCCCCGGCATCAGATCTTTATTTCTTTTAATGGCCACATCCTATCCCGCCGTACAAGTGTAGCACACTTTATCTGGTCACTGGTTGATGGGCATGTGGACTGTCTGCGCTCTCTGGCTGTTAACGAGTAATGCTCTCAGAAGCATTCACATGCAAGTTTTGTGTGAACATGTGCTTTTGGTTCTCCTGGATACGTACCTAGAAGCGGAATTTCTGGGTCCTATGGAGACTCACTTTTAAACTTTTGGGGAACTGCCTGAACGTTTCTCCAAAGTGCTTGCACCACTTTAGGTTCCCATCGGCAATGTAGGAAGGTTCCATCTCTTCCATTGCCTCCCCAACTCTCGTTGTCATCTGTCTTTCTCCTGCGTACGAAGCGGCAGCTCCCTGTGGGTCTGATTTGCGTTTCTCTGATGGCTAACGACGTCGACCCTCTTTCTGTGTGCTGATAGGGCTGGTTCGGTTTTCCAAAAGACTTAAGTTCTGCTTCTTGAAACATCCACAGATGTAGCCACAGGGAACCTGCATGTCTATGACTGCATTCAGCGACAGCTCGAGCCTCTGATTTTGACTTAACGTCCTATGTTGTTTTGTTTCCTTTAAGTTTTTTCTTAGCTGATGGAGACACACTGTGCTAAATATCACCCCAAATTTCCAGCGGCCTTTTTCCTACATGCTTCTGCTCCCACTGAAGTGCCATGTTCCCCCCCACCCCCACTTCCCCACTGCCTGGCTCTCTGGGATTTTCAAGTGATGCCCTGCATAAATAGCAGTCACACCTTAGGCAGTGATTAGGTGTGCTGGAGAGACCCACTTGCCAGTTGATCTCTCCGTCCCTCTCCCCACAGCATGCCCCAGTGGTGCTTGTCACCATCACCCTCATCACCATTACTCTTGGAGGTGATGTTTTCCACAAGGATTCATAACAATGCCCGAGGAGGCTGGAAGGACAACACACGAGCTGCCTCACTGACCAGCATGGGACAAATGGGTGGCAGAGAAAGGGAGTTCAGTTTTCTGAGTCGTCTACAGTTGGAGCATCTGAGTAGACTCCAGGAAAGCCACAGCGTGAGGGCCCACCTTTGCCAGGAGGTCTCTGTTCAGGAAACAAAGCCAGGG